GTTCAAAGTCCACATTAATCTCGCAACCAGATAGAAAGTAGGGTTAGAAAACTAGTAAAAGCCTGCTTTTTATCTTCTTCTTCTTCGTTGTTCTCCTCCTTCTGCTTGTTTTTTTGTCGTTAGTAGCACGAAAACACTTTTTAAAAACCTTCTTTTGCTTCTTCTTCTTCTTCTTTTACTATTGGCTTTTTATTCTTTTGAACAATCAGCCAGTATATTTGGTCAGTACTTGCCAAATTAACTATAAACTTTAACAATAAAAATATTGATTTCCATAAACTACAACCAAAAATTACTTTTTTATAAGGATGATCTAAATAATCTTTACACAAACTGATTTTCGTGTTGTGCTTGTATTATAATCGTTTCTGTCTTCTTCTTCTTCCTCTTGTGCTTTGTGCTTAGATGTACGTGGACGGTTGTCTGTAGTCTTCAAAACATTGTTAAAGTTCAGTTTTCGGTTATTTGAAATATGGTCCTTCATGTTTATTATCCAGAAATGTTTTTTCTTCCTGGACCTCGGCAACATAAGACTGTATAAATGTCAGACTGCTTTTTTTTAAGCGAAGCTTCTATACTGGCGTTGTATTACCGTTTCTCTGTAGTAAAATGCTTAGGCGAGCGTCACGGAAATAGCGTATCTCGTGGCGCTACTTCTACAACAAAAGCGCCTTTGCAGGTCGCTGTAAACAGTTGAAAGAGTTCATTTTTCTAAATAAAAATTTTTGTTAAAATAAGTAGTTAAAACTTGAAAACCTTACATCGTTAAAACGATGTAAAGGATTTTCCTGGACGGTAAAGACGATTCTGTTAACCATAAAAAAATTTATCAAAAACTACCGTATAGAGGATTTTCCTTTCTCATCCCTCCACTCTGGGGGAGAAGTTGGGGGTGAATGGTTAAAAATAAGACAACCCTGAAAAAAGTTATAAAGGGTAGAGAAAATAATTTTCTCAAACGTAAAATTATCATAACTACTATTTGCAGTATTCCCTTTGATTTTCCCTTCACTTCCATCCTTAAATGGGGGTGAGCAGCTGAAATACTTTAAAGGTGTTCGTGGGTTAGCATTTTACTCCAAAAGATGGAAAAACTCACTACTTATTTCAACCCCTAATTTAGATTCTAATATTCTAATAAATATTTCCTTAATCTATATTGCATTTACCAATAATTATTATAAAGTTATGTGTGATAAAATCGTTTTCGTCATCTACGAAAACACGGAAGAAAGGCTAAACTGCAAAAAATCATTACAATTTTTTTAGGTTTTAGCCACTTACTCCTATTTTTAAACCCTTGATGGGAATAGATGGTAAATAGGAACCCTCTACACAATATACTTTAATGAAAATCCACAAAATCGTTTTCATCACTTACGCCTCCAACGAAAAACCTTAACAAAGTTCTTCTTCAGGATTTTAGTTACTCTCCCCTAATTCCAGAGCTTGAAATGAGGCGTGATAAACGATAACACTGGAAATACGAATTTCCATAATATTATGAAAGAATCTTTCTGGTTTTTAGTTACTAACGCCTCTTTTACACCCCCTGAAGTGGGGTATAAGAACATTAGAAACTCTATACACAATGATCTAGAATAAAAGGATAGTTCACAGAATCATTTTCAACAACCTTTACCTAGTTTTTAGCAAACTTTCCGATTTTCAGAAACTCGCCCCACTTTTCCTACCAATGATGAGAGGAGATGACAACTAGGAACATTCTACACAATAAATTATGATAAATTTATGGTCCACAAAATCGTTTTCATCACCTACGAAAAACCTTAACAAAGTTTTTCACCGAACTTTTTTTATTTCAGCCACTTATCCTCCCAATCCAATGGTGGTAGTGAGAGGTTGTAGGGTAGTGGTTAGTAGTAGGTTAGGGAAGTACTACAAAATCATTTTCAGAAACCATGAAAAGCTTTTACAAAGTTCTTCATCGAGTTTTCTTGTTTTGAACCACTCATCTCACACTTTCACCCCTGGAGTGGAGGGATAATAAAGAAAAACCCTCTACACGGTGATTTTTGTTAAAAAAATGGTTGACCCAATCGTTTTCATCACACAAGAAAGCTGTTTACAAACTTCGTCAGCGAATTTTCGGGTTTTAGCTACTCGCCGCTTATTTCAACCCCTGTTTTAGGGAGTTGATGATAGCGTAATGAATATTTCATTATTCTGTGTTCAGTTTACTATAATTTAAAAAAAATTATACCGATATCATAATTTATTTTTAAGATAAAGCAAAAAGAGAAGCAAAAAGTAATCGATTTATTAAAATTGTTCAAATGCATCCCTATTTCAACACATACACTAAAGGATGATCGACTTCTCACATATTTTTCTTTAATTAGTTTAACTTAAACTTTTTAACCTTAAGAGATCAAGTACCTGCGCTATAAAATAAAATAGATTATATAGGGAAGTACCTATATAATCATCAATCATAATATATAATCATTTTCAGAAACCATGAAAAGCTTTTACAAAGTTCTTCATCGAATTTTCTTATTTTGAACCACTCATATCACACTTTTACCCCTGGAGTGGAGGGATAATAAAGAAAAACCCTCTACACGGTGATTTTTGTTAAAAAAATGGTTGACCCAATCGTTTTCATCACACAAGGAAACTGTTTACAAACTTTGTCAGCGAATTTTCGGGTTTTAGCTACTCGCCGCTTATTTCAACCCCTGTTTTAGGGAGTTGATGATAGCTTAATGAATATTTCATTATTCTGTGTTCAGTTTACTATAATTTAAAAAATATATATACCGATATCATAATTTATTTTTAAGATAAAGCAAAAAGAGAAGCAAAAAGTAATCGATTTATTAAAATTGTTCAAATGCACCCCTATTTCAACACATACACTAAAGGATGATCGACTTCTCACATATTTTTCTTTAATTAGTTTAACTTAAACTTTTTAACCTTAAGAGATCAAGTACCTGCGCTATAAAATAAAATAGATTATATAGCACTTTACAACATATAGTCCAAGTAAAAGTGGGACACTTGTATGCTTCTGATAGCTTTGATGTCTACTTCTATCTTGAGTAGTCTATTTAGTAGGATATCGTGTTTAACGTTGTCGAAGGTTTTCTGATAATCTATGACCCATACAAAAACATCTTGGCGTTAGTCATCACATTTTTGAATAAATAGTATGATTGAAAACAAAGCCATATTGTTATTCGCTATTATTTTCTTCACATTTCAACTACCTATATTCAAGCACGGTGACTTTATTACTATTTTTATTGGGAATAAGCAAGTATTGGCTTATTTCAATAAAATAGCATTTGTCTTAAGATGCCAGAAAGAAAATAGCTTCAGAACAATGTTAAAATGTTGTATATTTCCAGTTTTACTGTATGTTGTGGAAACATAGACCACATATATCTCTGAAATGTGATTATCCCGACAAATTCTCCAAATATCCTGGAGAGATCACATTACTGAGGAAATGTTAACAAGCATTGGCAAGCAAAAAGAAATAACGTTTACAGTGAAGAAGAGAAAGCTGGTCATTTAATGAGACATAATAAGTATTTTAGAAAGTTGGTCTTCAAAGAATGATGGATGATAAAGGGGTCCAGGAAGAACAAGAAACTCATGGATACAAAACCTACGCAAGTGATTTGGTTTGAGAACCTGAAGGAAATTATTATTTCTTGTTTTTTGGTTAATATAGTATTTTTCACATGATTTCGTAAATCGTATCGTCGAACAGGTCGTATCTATTTCTGAGAACCTAGCTGACTGGAATTAACTGAAAACGTTTGTTGTAGGTTTGACATTGAAATCCAAACGTTGATTTTTGCTTGCAAGTTAGCGTTCCATTGATTGAAACAAAGCATGTGGTAAATATGGGCTAAAACCTAATACTTCTAAGACCAAACTTATGGTTGTCAGCAAAACGGAGTTACAACGAACGAACATTAGAGCGTATTAAAGAGAGTTAGAAAGAGTCCACAATATTACCTATTTGGGTCCAACTTTTTTAAAAATTGCTTTGTAAATTAATTTTGGTCACTGCATTATTTAAAACTGCATGTATTTTGTAAATGAGTAAAAACAGAATTGATAGAGCCTTTATACTTGCAAATACTATCTTCCTGTCTCTAATCCTTTATTTTGTGCTTCTCTTTACTGATGAACTTAAAATTTCAAACACCAAAACTTTTCAATACATTACAATGTTATGAAAACAACATTTTTGTTATTCTTAATTTGGTATTTTAGAAATAACCATATTTAAATCCATATTTAACCAAAGTTAAATTATTTATTCTAAAACAAGTTGGATCCATAATTAATTGGTGTGAATTAGAGCTTAGAATTTATTTTATTTATACATTAACTATAGATAAAAGAATGAATTAAATTAATTGCAAATTATTAATGAAAAATTATTAAACGTAAAAGTTCTATGTTAAAGACAAAAATATCAAAAGAATAACAGAAAAAATTTCAGTAATTTCCAAAAAACCAATATATTCACATAGAGCCCCTGTGCGATTGCTAAAATCAAGTCTAAAAAGAGTATCGCAGTATCAACCTATATTATATAAAGTGTCAGAATCTTTCGATGTTAGCCAAATATCTATAACGATATTTAGATTTTAAATGCCGAATATGACATAAAAGTTCATAAATTAGAATTTAGTTTTTTAGTTTTTTAAATTATAAACGAAAATTAACAATTTTTGGTGTGCATGTCATTATAATATTTTAACGTATGTACTTCATATGAATCTATATTGTACATTATCTATCAAATATTAATATTTATGGTTAGTCAATATGTTAATCTAAAAATGGAAATTATCTCAAATTTAAAAACTAACTCTACTAGCTAGGCAACTTGCATTTGACTTCCATAAAGAGAGATGTATGCGTATTTGGACGAGACTCAACTTTGTTAAGTAGATGAGGAGATGTTTTTGTTTTTATGTCAAACAGCCCAACAGCCGTCAATTTCCATCAGTTCAGCTTGTGTCAGTCAGTTTATAATATATTATTACATGACCGTTATAAAATAAAATAAATGCTAATATCGGTGAATAAATTATCAATGTGGTGAATCTTAAATCAAAACCAACAGAGTCCTATGTGAACTCAAGAATTATCTCCATTCAAAATCATTTACATATGCTGTGTTGCTGCAGTTCCCATTGTGCAAGAGCACAATAGATAATACTATCAATTTCATAAACAATCAAAGAACTTAGGAAATAATGGCTACTGCCTATAGAAGAGATTATTATAGACGTCAACCTACTAGTAATTTTACATATGTGAGCCCCTGTGTGAAATACCTCATTTTCATACTCAACTTTATATTCTGGGTGAGTCACAAATTGTTGTATTTTTAAATAGGATCTATTGAGTTAATTGCCATTGCAATTGATTCGTTGCATGATGCAGTACATTTATCTTAATATCATTTATCTATAACAATAGGTTTTAAAGTGAATCATGTATGATTCATAATAATAGGTGATACTGATAGATTAGAAATGTTAAAAAATATTACTTAAAGAAAAGTAGTAATTTTGATGACTAATAATTTTGGAATTTTAGTTAGAGCATTGACAATATTCAAATTGATATTTTGGGCATTAAGTATATCTGCATTCAATATAAGTGTAAACTTTTAATCCCTACATCCCTACATGATGTGCTTTTTTACTTTTTTTTAGTGTGGTTGGGATAAAATAATGCTAAATATTGTGCAAACATTTTTCTTTGTAAGAATCTTAGTAAAATTAATATTTTTTTCTTTTTATAAACTAAATGGATGCCACACATTAGTTTTACTTCAAAATTTATGACAAAACTGGGAAATTGAATGGGAAACCTTTTCTAATAGTAGCAACAACATGTTGCAACAAATACTCTCCTCTTTCATGCACTCCATTAACTGAGAAAATTTCTTAGTCTATAAAAATATATATTACATATGTTAGGTACTTCTTTGAGCATGTTAACGAATATCTATTAAAATAAAAACACTCTGAAGCATATGCATGTGACTGTGAATGTTGATAATCCAGTGGTTAACCTTATCAACTAATGTTGATAAGGTTAACATTGTTTAACATAGATTTAATCATGAAGCCACTAAATATTTACTACAATCTATTTTTAAAGATATAGTCGCTTTGCAGAAATATATCGTTTCCCTCTCTACACGAGTGGTAAATCAAAATCTTATCAATAGGTCCACAACCAGTTTCTTCAAATGTACCAAATGCAAATTATAAGTGTATTTAGATCACTTAATAGGCTGTATGATTGTAATATTGTGAACATATGCAATTACGTATCAGCTGTTGTTATTCCTCTGTTTTCCCTAGTATAATATATCCTTCATCTTTGCCTATTTTGTTTGTTTTTAATAAAGCCCCTACATAAGATACCCTACAATATTTCTTTTATCTGAAAAATCAATGTGATAAAGAAGGTTGAGAAAGTGTTACCTTATTAGCTACATTATATTGCATTGTTATATTGATTATTAGGTAGATAAGCACATGACAAATTTTACATTGGACAGCCATGCACTAATAGAGCTGAAGTACAGTGGAAAACAAGCAGTTATAACATACAACAGGGCTATTTCAGGGAGAGTAAATCTGCAAATTCACTGGTAGAGAACTGGAAACATTCAACCGCATACTTTGAGGCACTAGACCACAGGCAGATATTTTTGGACACTACCAAGCACATGTGGCACTTGTCTGCTAGACCTGTACAAACTGGTACAGGGTTTTAGAATTCTGGAATGTATATTATGAAGGAATGGAACATGTACAAAAAGTCAGTTTTCTGCACTTCAACTGGTTTATCATACCGGAGGAATTTTTAGTGTTAATGTCCCACTAGCAAATAGTGTTTTACAAAAATATCATTTGTTAATTATCTGTGAACATTTATTGTTGTATTTAAACTGTTGATGTTTTTTAATGTTACATATTGCGAAAGTTATGATCCCAATATTGTCTAATTTGTCCTTTTGCTTCTAGTCCTTGTAGGAACTTGTCCCTGAATCTTCTTCCTATTGAATGAGTAATGTTTAGGAGTTTAATGTTCTAGAACAATACTAAACTGTTGCTTTATGATTTTTATCATCAATTGGCATCACATTTCCTAGATTTCCTGTAATTAATTTTTTTTTCATTTCATCCTTTCTAGTTGCTCCACCAATATCTAAACAATCTAATGTTTGCAACATTTTTCTTTCAGGGAGCACACACTTGCTTGCTTCAATATTTATTTATTTATTTAATACATGGGATAACCCCATTAATTAACAGTTTAAATTACAATATACAATATCACAGTTAGGATTCAAAACTTGAAATTACTTATAATATAAAATCAATATCTACATACTAAAAATATAACAAGAACAAAATTTAACAATACCAATATACATATCACAAAGCACAAGATCTTTTTAACTGAGTTAAAGTTATATTGAAAATATCAAAATCGTTAACATTTAATAGCCCCATGTATCTATCCAATGGGTTCTGAATACCATAGGTTGTTCTGTGGAAACGAATATTAAAACATTGTGGTAATGTAGAGCTTAATGGGGAACATTAAAGTTAATCTGGCTTTAACAGGTTTGGACAATCAATAAATCCATGTATGATCTTATATAAATATAGCTCATGACATATCACGATGGTTCTTGAGTGAGGGTAAAGATAATTGTTGTTCGATACAGGAATAATCATGATTTTCATTAGTACTGTGGACATGGTAAGCACAATATCTCAAAAATTTATGCTGGACTCTTTCTATGGTATCAATATTGTTCTGAAAATATGGTGACCAAATAACTGAACAGTATTCCAAAATAGTTCTAACTAAGCAACAATACACTAATCTTGTTGAATTAATGGAAAAATACTTGCATTCCTAGTAACGAAACCAAGGACTTTAGAAGCCTTTATTGAAATAGAGTTTATGTGGTCACAGAAAGTAAGCTTCTCATAAAAAATTACGCCCAAATCCTGAATAGAAGAAACATCACTCAGTGGCTGATTATTATAGTATAGCTTGTTTCAATTCTATTGACTTTACGAGAAAAACTTATAAAACAACATTTTTTTACATTTAAGTAAGTGGAATTTGTTCTGATTGCACAAATTTTGTAGTCTGTCTAAGGCATCTTGCAACACAGTTTGATCTTTTAAGCTATCTATCACTTTCCAAAATTTCAAGCCATCTGCCAATATTAGACATTTCCTATTTAGGAAACAGGAAGTAAAAGAAGTGGAGAACAATGGCCTCCTCGAGGAACTCCTTGAGGAACAGTTCACATCACCCCCATGTGTCTACGTGAATATGATCTACATATCAAGATAATATGGTTTTTGTTTATTTTAGTGGGTTAATCTAGATCAATATGATAAAAAAGAACTTTAATACATATATGTTTGACGACTTAATAAATGACGAAATAAAAAAAATGTTTTTGTAAAAAATTAATATTAAATGTTATTAGCGTTATAACCACATCCGTCCAAATCATGGTGTAGACAATAAATTTATCAAATATTGCCAAAAATGAAAAATAAATATATAATATTTATGATTTATGTATGACTAAATACACCCGCAGATTAAAACCATAGTGTTGTATTATCTAGTTTTGTTTTATAACATGGTATATTGTTGCTAAAATTGGAATGTGTCATTAACATTGTTTACATATTCTATATAATTACGTAAATATAATTTACATATCCAAGCTGCAGAACAAGTTATACGAGGGATTTTATTAGATAAGCTAATTTTAGTCATGGGTTTAATGATTTAAGCAACATTTTGACTGTACTTTTGTTATAATTGTCTTAAAATATCAAAGTATTTCTTTAACTGTGGCAAAACCTCAAGTAAATAAAGAAATAGTTTGTTAATCTTTTCACTCATACATGTTTGAAGGTCAGTTAAAAAAATTTGGAGTATAAAACATGTACATATATATGTAAAACAAGACAAACACACACTTATTCATACATCCTTACATGTGCACCTATTTACCTGTAAAGATTCTACAAATCTTTTAAAATTGTTTTTAAAATTGCGCGATATATACAGGGTGATTAATTACTACGTGGTAAAGCAAGCAAAATTAACACAGAAAAAAAAACAAAAATAATGATACAGACGAGAAGAAAGATAGTCCCACAAAACATTATACATGAAGATGACATTGAAACGGTTGGAAAGTTTACATACCTGAGAGTAGAAATATATGCCGACGGAACAGAAGATGGAGAAATGCGGAAGAGAATAGCGCAGTCAAACAGAGATTATTTTGCCCTCTCTATAAAAGAACTGTAAAGTTTTCACAGGGCATCATGGTGTGGGGTTGTATGTCGGCCAAAGGGTTGGGAACTTTACATTTTATTGAGGCCATAGTAAACGCAGCCAAATATCAAGATATCCTTGAATATTCGTTTCTACCAAGTGCGGCAAAGTTATATCCATCCGGAGATTTTATCTTTCAGCAGGACGGAGCCTCATGCCATACGGCTAAATCTACAAAAAAATGGATGGGATAACATGACATTAAAGTTTTGTCACATCCTTCTAGCAGACCGGATCTTAATTCAATAGAGACACTTTGGCACAAAATGAAACAACGCCTAAGAAATAACCCTCAGCGTACTTTGCCACAACTACGTGCTAAATTACAAGAAATATGGATAGTTTCACCCCTGAATTCTGTGAAGAGCTAGTTGATACAATCTCTAATAGAGTTCAGGCTGTTATTCACGCTAAGGCGACGTTACGCCTTATTAATTTGTATTTTAATTTGTTAAAATCCTCTTGTTCCAATATTTAGTTGTCAGCATTTTTTGTCTATCAATCAATTAATTAAATAGTAATCAACATAAAATATATAATTAAACTGTAAAAATAATTCCATACATCATAAAAATGTTGTTAATTTCATATTTACAATTAAAAAAAATTAAAAAAAAGAATTTCGGTAAATTGGCATTTTATTCGCAAAATAACTGCTTGTTCCTAACATATAGTTGTTAGGGCCCGTATATTGTTAATTTAGGTAGATTTTAAGTTCAGACATAAGTCAGAACCTGTTTATTAAAATAAAATAAACTAAAATAGAATAAAATGAAATACAGTAGAATAAAGTATAATAATAAATACTCAAATAAAATAAAATATAAAGTAAAGTAAAATTGAGTTAAATAGAGTAGAATAAAACTAAAATAAATTAGAATAAAATGAAATAAAGTAGAGTAAAATTTACAAAATAAAATTAAATAAAATAAATTAATTAGAGTAAAGTGGAATAGAGTAGAATAAAATAGAACAAAAGGAATAAAAAAAATTAAATTAAATTAAAATTAAATAATATAAAATAGAATAAAATCGAATAAAATAAAATAAAATAAAGTTAAATAGATTAAAATAGAATAAAATACAATACAATGTAATTAAAATAAAATAAAGTAGAATAAAATGTGTAAAATAAAATAGAATAGAATAAAATGGAATGAAATAGGATAAAAAAAATTGTTTAAAATCCTTTATAAAAGGTATATAAAAAATGCCCCAAACGGGCTATCAGAAACACATTGCAAAACGTTTTCGGATTGATAAATCCATCATCAGTGCAAACGGTTGTACATGCTAGTAGCCACCAAAATATATGGGTCAAAACCCTTTAAATGTTTTAAATTTGTAGTTGTTTTACATTATTAATAGTTATAATTTGTGATGTTTAAGTTACTAATATATAATATATATTAATATTATAACTATTAATAATGTAAAACAACTACAAATTTAAAACATTTAAAGGGTTTTGACCCATATATTTTGGTGGCTACTAGCATGTACAACCGTTTGCACTGATGATGGATTTATCAATCCGAAAACGTTTTGCAATGTGTTTGTGATAGCCCGTTTGGGGCATTTTTTATATACCTTTTATAAAGGATTTTAAACAATTTTTTGTGATATATGGTATACAGCCAGCTACAGGAACTTAGTTTCCTAGTGGAAATAGGATAAATTATTGTTTGACAAATTTGACGAATATTACCAGACCCCCAATATGCTAAATTCAACTGTTTGGTATGTCTCATATTTTATTTGGGGCAATATTTAATGTTTAGTAACTGTTTTCGAAGCAATTGTTAGTTAATGCAAGGTAAAGTGGCTATTAATACCTCAAATGGATTCATTTTATTAGCCAGAGATTTCCGTTTCTTACAGACTCTAAAGAGAATCGTATTGAACTTTGATTGATACATTATTTAATTCTAAGGCGATACGAAGTTCGGCGGATCAGCTAGTTATTATATAATATAAATAATATGTTCAAAAGTAATAATTGTATTTATATGAAATTATTTTAAAACGAAAATTATAAAAATTTTAACATATGATTCAATGTTGTTATTAATCGAATGACATTTATGACTTTTATTAAATTTTGACAATCGTTACGAATCAATCTTTTAGTGACAGATATTCTTTTAATTTTTTACTTCTCATTTAATATCTATATTTTGTTAGTTATTTTTCATGCAGTTTTTAATTTAAACCTGCTTAGAGTAAATATATGATGACTAGAAACGAATTGATCGAGAGTAGTGAATCGATGTGAAGAACCGCTATTATATGACGCTACCCGTGACGACGCCATCTTGTGGCGCTAGTTCCGTGACGCTCGTCTCAGCATTTTACTGCAGAGAAAAAAAAGTACTACAACGCCACTATAGAAATTTCGCTTTCAAAAAATCAATGCAAACTCAGCAAGCAATTTAACATTATACGGAAGCAAATTGACAATTACATCAACTGTAAAGATTTATTATACGTTCCTAACAGAAGGAGTACACAAAAATCAAACCTTGGATGTAGTTAGTCATTGCAAATTACATAATTATATTGTATCAAAAGCTGGTTTTGTAAATAATAAGTTAATATAAAGTCTCAATTGATACTGTTTCCGTTAGCTTGAAAAAATATCAGAATATATTTGCATGGACATGTAAACACTCACCATAATAAAATCCGCTAGTCACAATCACTTAACATGCCGCCTCTCTACTGTGACTGGATTTTACATATAGTGTTCCTTGTTAAATTTCTTGATACATATATTATAATAATTATAATGGTACCTCCTAAACATGTACTTTTGTATTAAAACGGTTCCTGTAAACAAGAACCTGTTTCAATATTTGTATACAATGGTAAGAATGCGGCATTTTTGGACACCAAAGTAAGATATACTCATGTTGATGAATTGTTCTAGTTTTAATTCGAATAATGTGGTTAAAACGCGGAAGACCTTGATATTTACATAAACAGTCTGATTCATAATCAATGTTTAAAAAAATTGCGAAAGATTATACTTATGCTGATTTTTTAAAAAAAATCCCCACCCAGATATATAGGTTATCTAGTTCTTATGAAATTTTCGATGCCATTCTGTGCACATTTAATAAGAAATTAAATAAATTAATTATTTATTTATTTCAAAGGCTTGCGCCCAATCACAGAAAATATAGAAACAACCATCAATAATAACTGAACAGGAAATATGTTTTCTAATATAACAAAAACAACTTATTAACATCCTCAGCGCCAGTGCATTTGTTTAGGGGCGCCTACGAACTCCCCCACGTTATATAGTAGGATTAAAAGCGACTACGAACTGCCCCACGCTGCCTAGGTACTTAGATAATATTTTTGTGAACATATATAGTTTTTATTTTACTTTATTGTATTCAAAAAGGAACCCAATTCCCAAAGTATAGGCGAAAATTTTAAATGATTAAATAATGAAACTATAACAGTTTATTTATAAATCTACATTAACTTATATACAATAACAAAAACTACAGCTAAACAATATCAATGCTTGATTCTGATGTCTGATTAGTGATTAAAATAAGTAAGAGTGAACACTATATTTTAGATTTTAAAAGTTAGCTGCATAATAATTTCAAACTGAATTAATGAAGTCTAATTTAGTAACTTTGATTAACGTAATATTCATTTAGCCTATTCTTCAATAAAATCAACTTTTCTTTTTGCCGTTTTATCAAGTTTATTTTCGAATCTATGTGCAGTTCTAATTTTCACATATACTTCTGCTTGAAAATGTGACAAAATATTTTTAAATTTAAATATGTCAGCATGTGATTTAAAAACACATTCGTTAAATTTCGAGTGAAATGATTCACATGCGTTTGTAGTAAATATAAGAGATAATGAATTTGAAGCCCGCATGTAAGGTGAAAATGTTGAATCTTCCGTTAAATAATTATCAACTAGGTAATCACAAAATTGCAAAACTCTGTCATCTTCTGGCATAATATTTAAAAGTTCATCAGAAAAAAGTCGCCAACATCATTTGGATCTAAATAAGGAATGCCGAAAAACAATTTTAAATATTTTCCAATAACAGTTTGATTTTTATATTCCGAGGACAAACCTAAATTTGAATGTTTTGGTACCAATTTTGTGTTAATGAAATTTGCATCAAAAATCAGAAATTATTCGCTTCGATTTGAAATTTAAATTCAAATCTGTACATATTGTTATTAAAGTATCAAAAGTACTTTTGTACGATTGCTGTGATTTATTTGTTAACAAACAAAATACTAGAGCCGAAAATTTTTATAGCCGTGTATAGTAAACATCTGACAAAAATATTTAGAACAGTATTGAAAAGTTCCATCTACATACAAAGAATCTACATTACACAAAAAGTAAAGATTTGTGAAACAACTAAAAATTGCGGAATTATTTTTCGTAGATAATAAAAAGTTTTCACCTGTATTTGTTTTTAAATTTAATTTCACTAACTACTTCTCTGTGACTGGCAATGATGTGTGATTTTCTTGCAGCATGATATTTTCGAACGCAGATTTCGTCGTCAGCGGTAAATTGCTGAAATTTTCCTTCCTCAATTCCTTGTGGACAATCTTTAAAGGTCTTTCACATATTATATCTTCTACAGCTTTCCTCTTTGTAGAATTACTAAAAATTTGCCGGTCAACGTGGATATCTGGAGCGATGCTTTTTCAAGAATAACGTAATTTTCATCACCTTCCTTTGTGTACACTTTTTGAAAACGTAAATTTCCATACAAATTATTTAATTGGCGCTGCTAACAGGATAAGTCAGAGATTTCAAATTTTCATAGATTTCTAGCTAGCATATGATTCCATAAAAAGAAGCAAATTGTGGATAGCAATATTAGATATGGGAATACCAAGAAAATTAGTTGAATTAACGTAAATGTGCGTGACACATGCTATAAAGCTATAGAGTTTTTTGACTGATCCATCGCATTATTGTCAGATACCTGAAATTGCATGTCTACATATTGTGGGATCATTTCCACAATAACAACGGCATTACTATAACCAGGCTGTGTAAAAGAAGTTGATATGGATTCTTCCGTAGAATGACTTACCATTTTCGTTTCTATTTCTATCACCAACTTGTCCAGAGTCTTTAAATTAAAGACAAGAGCATTTTTATTTCGATTTTAATACATTTTTTGCTTCACTTGCAGTAAACTCACTTAAACTAAACCATAGAAAGGCTTCACCAGTCATTACAACAGCAATTTTTTAAGGTTATGTTTTTGTAAAGGCCAATGACAAGAATAAAAAGGACAAAGTCCAATGCTCACTGGATATTGGGCCTTTAGTTAAGTAGAGTGAGTAGTTCTATGTGCACTTTGGGTGTTTTAATTTAAACTGATTTGGGGATAAGCCCGAACTTAAAATTAAAAAACTATTCATACAAAAAGATTGGCGTTTTTTTATTGATAGTTTTCAATATTAGAATTTTTGTGGTGATACTAAATAAACGCAAAATTGGAGTTTTTTATAATTAAGTAATTATTTAATTATATCATTGTTGTATTGTAGCAAAGCTCTGAAGATGTCTTTGTAAGCAGAAAGCACTCAGCTAGAAAATAACTGTTTACACACTTCAAAAATACTTTTCTTTTCCATTATTTGATAAATACCAATATTTTAAACATTTATAAGATTAAAGACCAATACATATTTATTACTTTGCAGCTATTTGGAGGTCTGCTGATTGGTATCGGTCTCTACGCTTTCGTTGACAAATGGCAGTTGACAGGCTGGGTAAGACTGGAAAATGTCTATGATGTGATACTAAATATATCGTTAGTCATGGTTATTATGGGAGGAGTCGTTTTTATCGTTAGCTTCGCCGGTTGTGTGGGAGCGCTCAGAGAAAATACATGCTTGCTCAAATTTGTAAGTAGAAACCATTTATTATATTTTAGAGTAAATTATAAGAGGTTATATAACTTAATATGTCTTCATAACAGTATAATTTGAGTTTTATTTTAGTTTCATAGATGGCTTGATAGATTTTTCAAGTCAATTAGTATTTCATATCACCACGTTACTAAATATGTGCTGTAATTAGTACATAGTCAAAATAATACTAAAAAAGAGGCTCTCAGTGATCAGATCAAGTACCTTCCTACCTGGGTTCTGATCTGAGAGCGATCCTAGATAAGGCAAGAAGAAAAATCAACCTCCTCAAAGTCCTATGGGGCAAATTTGACCATTGACAAGCTAAAACACTAATACGCACATACAAAACGTACATACATACGTCCTCTGCTTGAGTGTAGAGCAAACGTCTACTCACTACTCAGTCACATAGACTTCACACACAAACTGCGTACTTTAGAAAGGAAGTAAATAAAAGGAAATAGAGTAAATTAAAAACTAATAATCTTCCCCTCCGTTCAAATCCATCAATCATCGAACAACCCAACCATACTTGAGAGGTTCTGATCTCTAAAAAGAAGTTATACCCAAAAATGATCCATGGTCAAAATATTATAAAAACATATTTCGACAATATATTCAAGACACCCAAAAGTGAAGTTTCCTTACCTCCCTACCAAATTACTGACCTTTGCTTGCGACAAACTCCCTGAAAAATGCATGGGCATCGTGGAGCAATCTTCACTCTTTTATTGTCATTAGTAAATAGCTTACTTGGAGCTTTGCAAACGGCAGGGGAGGATCAGTTTTCTGTGATTTTCCGATCCCATTACCTGTCCATTGGGAAGTATGTACCAATCTTCTTTTGATATGATGGTTTTAAGGAGATACCATCATTTGGCAACTATGCGCCATTGCTGTATTGATCGTTCGTATGAACATCGTGGGTTCTCGCACGGTGTAACTCTGGCGCGTTATTTACCTATTTATCGAAGGGACACTTTCTTATTAGCTAATATTTATGTCGCGCCTTGAGTACGAGAACTTCCCTACCTAGTCTATCTGCGTGCAGTAGTACAGACGCCCCCTCAAACCGGTGAGATGTTTAAACTTTTTCCTCGCTGCGCCTGTGACCTGCTGACCTCCATCGCGAACTTTGTTTATTTGTTCCCGATCTTTTTGTTTCACGAGAAGGATAGTCACTCCCGGTAAAGTTCCGCATGCTGGGAGACTGCTTATGAGAACTGACAAGATCCAGTTGCCTGTCCTTAGCAATTTAAACGCAATAACTATCCTCTTTAACAACATAAACAAACCTGGTAAGATACCTGCAACATGGCTAATATCGATCTTTGTTCCGCTATAAAAAAATAAGAACCTCAAACCCTGTAATGACTATTGATGTATTTGTTTAATGTCATAATTTTTGAAAACATTTTTAAAGGTCACACATGTAAGAATATTCACGGATATGACTACTAGACAGTATAGCTTTCGTAATCATTTCGGAATAGTAGAAGCTCTGTACAGTTTCACAACTCCTGCTGAAAAATGTCGAAACCAACAAAAAGATCTTTTCGTCGCATTTACAGACCATGAGAAAGCTTTCGACAAAGTTAATAACACTTTCATGGACTGTCTAAAGCGAAAAGAACTCGTCAAAAGCGACAAAAATGATATTAACGAAATAGCACGGATGCGCAGCAGATACGTAGAGGAGTGAGACTAGACTGTGTAATTTCACCATTACCTTTTAATACATATTCCAAGAGTTATTTACCCAAGCACTTAAAAACTGTCTTCTTCTTTTTTATATAGACATGACTCTGTCGGAGTTTTAATGTGCTCCCAGTAAGTTGTCCTTCCATCGTTTTCATCGTCTTCCTATTGGCGAACCGTCTTGCTCTTTACTCTATTTGTTGTCATTTTGCTTATATGATCGTTCCATTCTACTCTTCTACTTCTTACCCAGTTCTTGATCTTCTACACCTTGCATCTACGTCATATATCTGTACTTCTAGCTCTGTCCCATAGTGTCTTGCCATCAACTTTTCATCTCTTCTGTTTCTAACATCCTTTTGCTCCTTTCTGTCTTGTTTCTGCCGCGTATGTCATTATTGGTCTGATGACTGTTTTCTAACTTCTGCCTTTCGTTTCTTTCTCAATAAAGTTAAAAACTGTAAAGAAGAGATAAATATAAATGGTGAAAATATAAATAACATTCGTTATGCCGACGATACAGTCATTATCGCTGAAAGTGAGAAAGACCTGCAGATGCTACTAAACACAATTTGTGATACTGAGGAACAGTTTGGTTTAACAATAAACGCAAAGAAAACAAAAACCATTATTATCAGTAAGAGGGGTAAAGTCATAAAAAGGATCTAGATAAAAAAAATGAAAAAGATATTGATCAAAAGATATTTGAACAAAATGAAATACTTCTGAGTCTGTGTTACTGAAGAGCAGCCAAATACTCAATCTGCAAATCCAATATCGGATGATAAATTGTTATATTCATTCTATTCTTCTTTATGGTGTCGAAATTTGGACTCTTAATGTTGACTTAATGAGAAAGCTGGAAGCTTTTAAGATGTGGTTTTCTAGAATTTTGAAAATGCCATGGCCAATCATATTACGATTACAAATGCGGGTACAATTCCAAAAGACTGGAACAATGCAGTAATAGTCTTGTTACACAAAAAAGGCGATATTACTAAATTAGAAAATTATAGACCCATCAGCCTCTTGACACATATGTACAAACTCTTTATGAAAATCTTAACAAAGAGGCTAACACCTAAACTTGATTTCTATCAGCCCAAAGAACAGGCAGGCTTCAGGGCAGGATATGGCACAAATGACCATTTGCATACCATAAAGATCTTAATAGAAAAGTGCATCGAGTACAACATACCACTGGTTCTTGCATTTGTCGATTACGAGAAGGCTTTTGATTCTGTAGAGTTTGAAACAATACTGGAAGCCCTAAATCAAAGCCGAATAGATTACAGGTACACGACACTAATCAAAAACATCTATCAGAACGCTACATCAAGTATACGACTGCACGAAGACACAGAAAAATTCAGCTTAGGACGAGGAGTTAGACAAGGAGACAATATTTCACCAAAATTGTTCACGGCAGCTCTAGAGTCAATATTTAAGGGTACTCAATGGCAAGATATGGGCATCAATATAGATGGAGAAAGATTAAATCACCTAAGGTTTGCAGATGATGTTGTATTAATCGCAGATAACTTACATGATACAGTTACTATGATGCATTCGCTTAAAAGTCTGTCTGAAAGAGCAGGATTAAAGATAAACTTTGAGAAAACTAAAATTATAACAAATCTCGTAATGAGTGGAAATATAACTATTGACAATAATACCATACAACAAACAGACACTTACAAATATCTGGGACACGAAATCAAAATAAGCAGAGACAATCAAACACATGAAATACAGAGGCGAATAGGTCTAACATGGGCAGCATTTGGCAAATTAAGCCATATTCTAAAAAGTTCAATTCCCATGTGTCTCAAGCGAAAGGTTTATAACCAATGTGTTTTACCTGTACAAACTTATGGAGCAGAGACTTTAACACTCACGCAAAAATCTGCGAATAAACTTAGAGTTACACAACGAGCCATGGAACGTGCAATGCTGAACGTGAGCCTTCGAGACCACATAACAAACCAACAAATCAGACGAAGATCAGGAGTTCAAGACGTCATCGAAAGAACCACGACGCTTAAGTGGAACTGGGCAGGGCACTTAGCCAGAACACAAGATGGACGGTGGACAAGACGTATTATGGAATGGAGGCCCAGAAATTATAAAAGAAGCCGAGGACGACCACCGACTAGATGGACCGATGACATTAAACGTGTAGCGGGAAACTGGCTACAAGCGGCCCAGTGTAGAGAACACTGGAAAGAATTGAGGGAGGCCTATGTCCAGCAGTGGACGCGATTGGCTGATTGATGAATCATATTACGAACGAAATGGTGTAGTATCGAATGGAAATAGAGAGAGAACTTTTAACCACTATTAAAAGGAGAAAGACACCATATTTAGGGCACAGACGTAGAACTGATAAGTACGAGTTGTTGTAGCTGATTATGAAGGATAAAATCGACGGAAAAAGGGGTCCTAGCAGTCGTCAAATATCCTGGCTGAAAAACATTCGCGACTGGACCGGTTTAAACACACAGACGCTTCTAAGAAAAGCAGAAGATAGAGATGAATTTGCAGTGGTTATAGCTAACCCCTTTAAGTGAAGTCAACACTAGAAGAAGAAGATCGTATTCTTAAATTTTGTCTATTTATTTTTAGACGTATTTTTGGGCTGGTGTTTGCAACTTTTTAATAGTTGACTTGATTTACCTTCTGAATTCTTGGAAATGATGTTTCACATACTTCTACAAAATTAACATTACAGATAACTGCAAAATATTACAAATTCTGATATCTGAGGTCGAAAATCGACTGCTAATAAAATCACGCTAATCGATAGCAAAATAAATTATAAAAATTTGTTTTATTCATTAAAACCGTCAATACCCATTAATACATTTAAATAAATTGTTTACTTTATTATTTTTAAAGATATATCAAATTGGCTCACCGACGTCCTTTAACTTAAATGTGTACATATTTTAAGCACGTGTTTAAATACCATTAATGACTTTTATGTAAATAAGAGACATTAGAACATTTTCTGACGTATCCTAAAATGGATTTTTTTTTGTAAAAAGTCTGTTTTTGTTTTGAAAAATAATTTGACTGGAAAAGAAAAGGTAGTAAATTTTATTTGTTTTATAACTTTATATCTAAGTTTCGTCCTCTCTTAGTCCAGGCTGTGAGGCCGCTCCCGTTGGGAAAATGTTTCTGATTCGGTTTCTTCGCGGATTCCGGTTCAAAAATGTCCCCTTTAAACAAATCTGAAGGGTGCCGGGCGAAATTTTTGGGCAGAAATTGTTCAAACAATTTTTTTAAACAAAGTCCAAAAATAATTTTTTTTTAATCTGGAAAACGTTTTTTTAGGTTTTTTGGGCCATTTTAAACAAAAAAAGTCTCTTGTCATTTTTCTCTAAAGTTGATAGTTTTCGAGTTATAAGCGATTTAAAGTCTGAAAAACGCGAAAATACGCATTTTTGAGGCTTGAAAACACATATGTAAATTATTATTTTTGAGGTTACCAAGTGTCTAAATTAAAGTTTAAACATTCAACTTCAAGATTGTGAAGAGTAATTGAGTGCATAAGTACGATAGAGGCGCTACCGTGCACCTCTATCGTACTTATGCATAGTTTACATATACTTACAAATAATTATTATTTATTGAGTACATATTTATTTATATCAATTGAGTTATAATATAAATTTCGTCTAAAGTCTAATAATAGTTACATAAAATAATTGTACAAAAGATTGTTAAATAACATACTAATATCACTCAGTAAAAGTATCTTTGTTTTCACAAAAATCTAAATCACATCCACATAATGGTACACAGTTGACATGATTTTTCTTGCAGTTGCAAGCATTAGTTTTGCAAGTCTTTTTGCATTTGCACGGTTTCCCATCCCACCACTATCAGACATATAATATCCATATTGTGTAAAATCGAGAGTTTGATAGCGGGAATATATGGCATTTCGCCAAATATATGTTTTAGCGAAAGCTCTTAACAAGTGTTGGTAAAGTGCGTCAGAGGTACAAGGTATATTGGCTAGATTAAATTAAATTTTTCAGTCACACTGTCTTTTCGTCGAAGAGCAGCATTTTGTATTGTTATGTAAAAATCTACTTTAGGTTTTTGCACTAACTTAATATTGTTGATGTTATTACAAAAAATACAAACTAAATTTTCTTCGGTAAGTTTTCATTTAAGAAGAGGTACGGAAAAAGACATTTTAAATCCATTCACAATTTTTTTAATAACACATTAATAATATAATACCCTTTTAATGGGCATTAAACAATAGTCTTCCTAATGATCGTTTAAGTAATAACAAATCAAGTATGAGCGCGCGATTGTTAAACAGGTAAAAACTTGCATTTTTGCGATAGTATATTGTTTTTAAACACCGCGCAATTTAAAATTAAGTTTACTAATATTAATATTTACTGCATTGTATTATTTAAATAATAATTTAAAAATATTATTTACAATTGATATAAATAAATATATACTCAATAAATAATAATTATATTGTTCAAATTTGGAAGAAAAAAAAACTATATACGGTTATTACATTGCGATGATTGATTTATTTAATTAGCCCAATGACAATAATTAATACCTACATAAATAAATTATGGAAAAAACTATGTTAATAAACTTCAAGGATTTGTTCGGGTTTTTTTGCGTAAGTGTATATGTAAACTATGCATAAGTACGATAGAAGCGCACTCTAGCGCGCCGCGCCGCGGCGGCTGAAAAATCGAGTGTACGCGCATATTTAACAATTAAAAAACAACGGTCTAAATTAAAATAAGCCCCGATTACTCTTCACAATCTTGAAGTTGAATGTTTAAACTTCAATTTAGACACTTGGTAACCTCAAAAATAATAATTTACATATGTGTTTTCAAGCCTCAAAAATGCGTATTTTCGCGTTTTTCAGACTTTAAATCGCTTATAACTCGAAAACTATCAACTTTAGAGAAAAACGACAAGAGACCTTTTTTGTTTAAAATGACCCAAAAAACCTAAAAAAACGTTTTCCAGATTAAAAAAAATATTTTTGGAATTTGTTTAAAAAAAATTGTTTAAACAATTTCTGCCCAAAAATTTCGCCCGGCACCCTTCAGATTTGTTTAAAGGGGACATTTTTGAACCGGAATCCGCGAAGAAACCGAATCAGAAACATTTTCCCAACGGGAGCGGCCTCACAGCCTGGACTATCTTACAATGTTGTATACGGATTTTTTATGTCCTCCATCGAATTTTGTCAGCTAGTTCTGAATACATGAAACTAGTAATACTAGCTTGCTAGTTTAAAAGCGCTGGCTTGCTATTCTAGCTTGAAAAACTAGCCTCGTGTAATCCGGGCATTAAGCACATATTAAAAACCCAATACATAACAATCGAGAGTCTGACTTCACTCAAACCCGATTCCACACCCGTACACTAAAAGCGCTCGTCCGCTCGACTATTCTAGATATGTACGTGATATAGTATTATTTTTATGTGTGTAAATTACTAATTGTTCGATATTTTTTAGTACTCACTCTGTCTATTAATATTCTTCCTCTTGGAAATGGGAATAGCCATCGTTGGATTTGTCTTCCCCCATTCTATGCAGTCGGTCTTGGAAGAAAATTTCACCGACAAGATCATTCACACCTATCGAGATGATCCAGACCTACAGAATTTCGTCGATTTTGCTCAACAAGAGGTAACAGTATATTCTATAATAGGAGTTTAAACTGACATACAATCATCTTAGTGTAGCTACACCTTGTGTATGCTAAAATCTTCCTTCTTTATATACGTAATAAACTTTTTATTATTTTTAGTTCCGATGTTGTGGACTCAGCTCAGAAGGATATATGGACTGGTCAAAGAATGAGTACTTTAACTGCAGCTCACCCAGTGTCGAACATTGTGGTGTGCCATTTTCTTGCTGCATAAATGCGACTGATCTTAGCTCAAGACTGGTTAATATAATGTGTGGATATGGAGTGCAAACCCTGTCGGTAAGTTTTTAATATCTCTTAACATCCCATTAACTATCTTACTTAACTACGTAACAAGAAACAGAAGTCTTCGATACCCTTGGAAAATTATTTATCTTCAGGAGGTCAGGTATGTTAATTTGATGAAACTAGGTTTTTGAGTCCTCATGGTTTGAAGCTAGGTCCGTTTAAAATATCTTCTCCATGTGCCATCTCCTCTAACAAGGTTGGTAACCATCATGGCAATTCGCACTTTCGATACCGCTGCTCTAAAGAGGTCAGCAGAAGTGCAGTTAAACCAAGCTCTCAAATTGTTTAACCAGGAGATGCGTCTTCTTTCGCGACTCCTTCTACCCTGTATTCTTCCTTGAATTATCAATTGCAACAAGTTATAACGCTCGCCCCTCATGACATGTCAAATATATTGCAGTTTTCTGCCTTTAATTGTATTTAAAACATCTTTATCTTTTCCATTCTTCTTAACACCTCGACATTCGTGACTCTATCCTCCCAACTTATTCTTAATATCCTTCTCTAGGCCCATAACTCGAAGGCTTCTAATCTGTCCGAAACATCTTTCTTTAATGTCCAAGCCTCCAACCCATAAAATAATACAAAGAACATGTAGCATCTCAGAAGTATTATCTTTAAAGAAATTGAAATGTCCTTGCTACTTGATCTTCTAACCAATATATTACAAAATCTAATCAAAAATGTAACATCAACGGGTTTTAGCCGAAGTGGGATATTAATCGAGCCAGAGAGCACCTTGACTCTATTATTCGTGACTGGGAGCACGTACATGGTACAATTTTGTCAAGCGGAGGAGTTAGTAGTTGCTAACACTCTTTTTAAGTTACCTAACAGACGACTGTACACATGGAAATCTCCGAGTGACACCAAAGGTAGAGTAGTCAGAAACCAAATTGACTTTGTCCTTATTAGTCAAAGATTCCGCAACTCTATACTCTCAGCTAAAACCTACCCAGGAGCAGATATAGGCTCGGATCATAATCCTGTAGTAGTCACATTAAGAATTAAACTAAAGATCATTAAAAAACACATACAGAAACAAATTGACGTGAGAAGACTGAATGAACAACATATAAAAGAGAAAACAATAGTGAACATCAAAGAAAATTTACAAAATATAGAGAAACTGAATAGAAATACTGATAACATAGACCAAAAATGGGAGAATATTAAACATGCCGTAATGTTGGCAGGGAGAGAAAATTTAACACCGAAAGAAAGGAAACATAAAGAATGGATTAATGAGGAAATACTACAGTTGATGCGTGAAAGAAGGGTACACAAAACAAATAATCCGATAAGATACAAAGAAACAGATAAACTGATAAAAAAGAAAATAAGAGAAGCTAGAGAAAGATGGCTAAGTGAGCAATGCCATGAGTTGGAACAATTGGAGCGAAAATATGACTTTTTTAATGTACACAAAAAGATTAAAGAAATGACAGGAAGGAGAAGAACAACACAGACAGGACAGATCAAAGATACAGATGGTATAATTATAACAGATTTACAACAAAAAATGAACCGATGGACAGAATACATATCACAACTGTTTGATGACAAAGATAGACAAGAAATCTCAAACGAATATACAGATGATACAGGGCCTGATATAATCAGAGAAGAAATAGAATATGCAATCAAACAAGCAAAAAGTGGTAAGGCCCCCGGTCCTGATGAAATTCCCGTAGAACTGCTCAAACTTATGGACGATGAATCTATTAAAATACTCCTAGATCTATTTAACACAATATATAGAACTGGAATAATACCTAGGGAATGGCTCCGTTCGACCTTTATACTACTGCCAAAAAAGGCAAATACAAAGGAATGCAACGAATATCGTACGATAGCTTTGATGAGTCATGCTCTAAAACTGTTCTTAAAAATAATCCATAATAGGATCTATAGGAAATTAGACGTAGACATCAGTAACACTCAGATGGGATTCAGAAAAGGGCTGGGTACAAGGGAGGCTCTGTTTGCAATGAACGTTCTCTCACAGAGATGCTTAGACATGAACCAAGAAATTTACGCCTGCTTTATTGATTTCGAAAAGGCCTTTGACAAAGTACAACATGAACCACTAAGACAAGTTCTAATAAAGAAAAATATAGACAGCCGAGATATTCGAATTATATGCAATCTATATTGGAATCAAACAGCAAATGTCAAGGTTGAGGGCAGACTAACAGAAGAAATTCAAATCCGTCGAGGAGTCCGGCAGGGATGTATCTTATCGCCACTTTTATTTAATCTGTATAGTGAAGCTATCTGTGAACAAGCACTCGAGGAAGAAGATCTTGGTCTGATAATAAATGGTGAGACGATCAACAATATAAGGTATGCTGACGATACAGTTCTCCTAACGGGAACGCTAGTAGAACTACAACATCTCGTTCAAAGTCTCAATATATACTGTAACAGTTACGGCTTGAAAATTAATTTGAAAAAAACTAAATTTATGGTAATCACGAAATCAAAGAACATCAGAGCTAATCTTGTAATAGACAATACAACGATTGAGCGTGTGCCCTGTTATAAATATCTAGGTGCTTGGATCACAGACGATACTGATCAAACAAAAGAGATTAGATGTAGAATAGAAATCGCTAGATCAGTCTTTAATAGAATGCGCAAACTCTTTTGCAATCGTGATATCAATATAAAGTTACGAATACGAATGCTGCGGTGTTATGTCTTTTCTACCCTGTTATATGGAGTTGAGGCTTGGACACTAAAACAGTTGACCATAAAAAACATCGAAGCTTTCGAGATGTGGTGCTATAGGCGCATTCTCAGAATATCATGGATGGACCGCGTCACTAACACGCAAGTACTCCAAACTTTAGACAAAAGATGCGAAATTCTAAATGAGATAAAAACTAGAAAGATGGAATACTTGGGGCACATTGTGAGAGGTGAAAAGTACGAACTTTTAAGAAACATCATGCAGGGCAAAATTAAGGGCAAAAGAAGTGTGGGAAGAAGAAAAATATCGTGGCTTCGTAATCTACGTGAATGGTTCGGGTGTAGTTCGATTGAACTTTTCAGGCGCGCTGCTAACAAAGTCGCAGTGGCCATGATGATTTCCAATCTCCGCTAGGAGTGGCACGAGAAGAAGAAGAAGAAGTTCAACATACGACTTATTACTTTATTACATGGAGGATCTGAAATGGTTTGGGGAGGAATATCTCCTACAGCGCGAACGGACCTTGTTGCTTTACGAAGAGGTTTCTTATTAAATGAAAGGTATATACTACAGACATTTTGTCTAACCATGTAGTTCCATTTGCTCCTTACATAGGAAATAATTTTCTTTTAATGCATGATAACGCTTGACTACAAATATGTTGCACGTGTGGTCCGTGATTATTTGGACGCGGTTGTAATACAAACCATGAACTGGCCACCCTGCAGCCCTGATCTAAATTCCATAGAGAATGTTTGGGATAATATTGATCGGCATCTCAGGAGCCGCCAACCACCACCTGTCTCTATTGATGATATAGAAGTTATGGTGAGAGAAGTTTGGGATGCAATTGATCAAGACCAAATACACCGCTTGATTTTAAGTATGCCTCTTCGCTGTGAAGAAGTTATTAGATTTAAAGGTGAAACTACTCGTTATTAAGTGTTTTTGGGAGAAGAAATTGTTAAATATTATTTAGGTTATGTTTAATTGTTATGTTAGGTAGTGCTTGTGAAATGTAACAAGTTAACTTTGTTATGGGTGCCAGGACAGAAAGGAATTATTAGTAATGAGATGATTGATATTTTTGTTAAAAAAGGAGCTAATATTCCTTATAAGATATAAATTATATGAATCGAAAATTATTTGAGGAATATGCCAAATAAAACATAAGCAAAACAGAATATTTAAAAATTGGAGGAAATACCACAGATCTGAGGCTTGAAAACGCAGTCATAAAAGGCTGCAACCAGTATAAATATCTAGGAAGCATCATGTCAGCAGATGGCAGAGTTAAGATAGATGTACAAAACCGAATAACCCAAGGGAAAAAGTGCATCCGAATACTGAATTAATTACTGGGGTCTAATAAAATAAAGATGCATACCAAACTTCGCGTATACAGAGCAATTGTAGAACCAATTACCACATATGGTGCCGAATATTGGACGATGACAAAGAATGAACGAGATAAAGTAGACGTTGTGGAAATGGATTATCTTAGAAGGTCATGTCGAGTATCGAGAATGGAAAGAATCAGGAATGAGGAAATACGAAACCGTACAGGAATTAGAGATACTCTTCCAGATAGAATACAAGGAAGGCAATTACAATGGTATGGTCAGTGATGAGAATGGAGGAGGAGCGGTGGCCAAAGAAAGCCTTAATGTATGTTCCGCCAGAAAGAAGGAAAAGGGGAAGACCACCAAATTCCTGGAGAAGAGAAATTACAAAAACAATGCAATCTAGAGGCTTAGAAGAGGGAGATTGGGGAGATAGGAAAAGATGGAGGCTGAAATGCGGGAAGCGGCAATCGCCGTAGGACCCCCGTTATATGATGATGATGATAATATTCCTTTTATCGGACCAGAGCCATTCTGTGGTATATTAAAAAGCCGCTTAGTGGCGGATGTCCGAAAATATTAAAAAGTCAGATACTGGCGGATGTCCGAAAATGAGAAAAGAAAATTTAGTATAGCCTGCTGGAAAATATTTCAAGCCAAAAGCATGTAAAAAAGGATAACACAACTCCCTGCTCGAAACCCAGAAATACTCTTAGAGTTTAGACTGAACTCGAAAGTAATGACCATTGTACTCACTACCCACTGCTCACTCGGTTATTATCTGTAAAATTGTCAGAGTGTACAAACGCTACCGAACCATCAGCTTGATGAGTCATTTTTTAAAAACATTTCTACGAATTTTGCACTCTAGGATGTACCAAAAAATAGAACAACAACTTGGTGACACACAGTTTGGATTCCGCAATAACCTTGAAACAAGAGTAGCACTATTTAGTATTCAGGTTATGGTACAGAGATACAGAAATGTCGGACATCCAGTTTATGTGTTTTATTGACTTTGAGAAGGCCTTTGATCGAGTAAAACATACTGAAATGATAGCCATTCTTCAGCAGGTAGGTATTGATGATAAAGACCTACGCATTATTAAAAATCTTTACTGGCATCAACGTGCAAAGATCAAGATTGGCCGGGACACTTCTGAAGAGTTTCAAATACGAAGAGGAGTAAGGCAGGACTGCATTTTGTCCCCGCTACTATTTAACATCTATTCTGAGTTCGTTTTCAATAAAGCAGTGGATAATGTTCAATGAGGTATAAAAATGAATGGCGTCAATATTAATAATTTGAGATATGCGGATGACACAGTGTTAATTGCAAGCAATTACGAAGAATTCCAACATCTAATTAATAGGATTACCACAACGTGTGATAAATATGGCCTTAAGCTAAACACCGCAAAGCCAAAGGTGATGGTCGTCAGTAAAACGCCAATACAACCGGAAGTGGTAACAGCTTATGGTGAACAACTGGAGAGAACTAACAGTATCACTTACCTTGGTTGTAATCTAAATGAGAACTGGGACATCAGCAAAGAAATTAGAATACGGATAGAGAAGGCCAGAGCTGCATTCTTTAAGATGAAGAAACTGTTATGTATAAACAATATTACTTTAAGTTTGAAAATTAGATTAGTGAGATGTTATGTGTTCTCTACTCTTTTGTATGGTGTCGAAGGTTGGACTTTGACAGATACACTTCTCATGAAACTGGAAGCCTTTGAAATCTGGGTGTATCGGAGAATCATACGAATAAGTTGGGTGGATAGAGTTCGTAACGAAGTTGTTTTGCATCGGATGGGAAAAGTTACGGAAGTCGTCAAAACAGTTAAAAATCGCAAACTTGAATATTTTCGCCATGTTATGCGCCACCCAGAGAGATATAATATACTCCATTTAATAATACAAGGCAAGGTAGACGGAAAAAGCGGGCCAGGTCGAAGAAGAACGTCATGGCTTAGAAACCTGAGAGATTGGTTTAACAGATCCTCTGCATCTCTTTTCCGAGCTGCCGTCAACAAAATTACTATAGCCAATTTGATAGCCAATGCTCGATAATCGAGCACGGCACATGAAGAGAACAAACGCTAGAACTATATTTCAAGTAACTTGAGAAAGGCAATCAGCCGAAACAGCTGTAGTGATAAGAGTTTAAAATAAATTGTGTGGGAGTTTAAAATAAATTTTGTGATAATACTTTTACATTGCTAAAATGTACAAAACTCTCGTGTTATTGGAAAAACATATTCACGCCTTGAAGACTTCTCATGTTTTTCTTAATTTTCAGGTTGCTGAAGCTGGAAAGAAGGTCTGGACTTCCGGCTGTATAGAGATCGTCAGATCTTGGGCCGAAAGGAATTTGTACACGATCGCCGGAATCGCTCTAGGTGTAGCCTTATCACAATTATTCGTTATCTATCTGGCTAAAACTCTCGAAGGTCAAATCGATCTACAAAAATCCAGGTGGGCTAGTTGAAATATAGGGATTGTTTGTAAATATGAGGTCCAAACTTTCTAAAACAATGTGTTTATGTAATGTGTAAGTCTGTAATAATGCTTTGGTGGTTGTTCGAAACGCTGTGTTTATTTTTTGAAAAAAATGTATATACTTCGTAAAATGAGTACGTTGTGTTATATAATAGATATTCTTAAATTCCATAAATGTTCTCACAGATTTTATACCACATAAAAATCGTTATTACATAATGGTGCCGTTAATTTTTAAAGATTTAACCGATGACTGAAAATTAAATTTATCTCATAAATCACCACAAATTACTTAAAAAATTACTACACGATATTCAGGTGTTTTGATGCTAACGTTGTAAATAATCTCATTTGTCTCGAATCAATTTAACAATCATATCCATTTTTTTTTCAATTGATTGATTTTCTTTGTAGTTAGGTTAAGAGTCTAGTTTTATTTTTAAAAGACTTATTAATGTTTTAAAGATTTTAGGGAAAATTTATCAGTGACTATTTTTGTCAGTATTATATATTAAGCTTGTGACATTTCCACATATTTAAAAGTAAATAAAAAAATTATATTATAAAAGTGATGTTTGAACGTCTCCTCCAATATGATGGTAATTTAAAGGTAGGCATTCGAATATGAACCACAATCTTACGGTAGCTCTACCAGGATGGTCCGATAAGTATTTAGTCTATAAAAGTAAAATGAACATTTTGGAAAAGTGGCAATTTTTCCTCAACATAGTCTCTTTTTAGCTCGATACACTTGACACAGCGATGCTCCAACTTCTTTAATCCGTCCTAAAAAATAAGTTTTCTCGACTTCTGCAATATAGACTTTCGTGGCAGCGGTGATCTCTTCATTCGTCCCAAATTTCTGTCCGGCGAGTGACAAGTGAAAACAAAAAGGAGTTGCTCGGGACCAAATCTGGAGAATAAAGTGGATGAGCAGTTCGTAGACCAATTTGGCTGTGGCGACACCATAGGTGTGTTTTCTTTACCAAATGTTACCATTTTACCTGAATCCTTGTTATCTGGTGTGTATCAGTGGATCTAAGTTTCTTCGACAGCCACAAAAACCCCTTTTAACACGTTGCCTGCCGTAGAGGATTTTGTAATACTTTCTGGCACCACAGTTACATTAAAAGTTTTGCAGGGCAATTTTTTTCTCGATCACATAGACTGAGACAGCAGGCAATGTGTTAATTGCACTTAAATAGCATCAAACACTGCTCTCAAGTGGTCTCACGGTTATCACACTGCTGCTATGAACTTCCTATTATCTTTTACTCACGTGATTTTTAATCGACGGTCTGCCATAAAGGGATCGTAGATTTTTGATTTGATATTTTTTATTTTTATAGTTTGTTAGGGATATGCCTGAGGAAGGTAAGTTCTGAATGTCAGTATTGAATCATTTTTTTTTTAAATCTTACCTTAAGCTTACCTAGAACTTCAATTAAAATAAATTTATCCAATTTTTTGTATAATTTTCAATATAAACCAATGTTTTTAGTTAACCTCTACTGATCGATATTGCATAAGAGTTATTTCATATTAAAGACTAGAGTGTAGACTTTCATAAAAAGTTTTCACAAACTAAAATACAAAGAATATATCATCAGAGTAGTACACACTGATAAATTTGTTATGTAATATAAAAGTTTAAATGTAAATATTGAGTACTTACCTTGCTCTGACATATCCAGAACTGCTTTTTTCACAAAAATTACTTTAATTATAAAAATAAAAAAATCGAAAATCTTACGAAAAGTCTAAAATCTCACATTTAAACAGTCAGCCAAAACGGTATTTGTTTAGTAAGGCTATTTGGGGGGTTTCACATGACGTCACATACGGCTGCCTAGTTCAGGAACAAAAATCTGCCCGAAATGCCAGTTTTTGAAATTTCCATTTTTGACCAACCAAAATTTTGAAATTTCCAATCACTATGTGGAAGTCCGATCACACTCAAGTACAGTACATTCAAACTCAAACAGTATAAAAATGAATTTATAATTCTATACCTTTTTCACAATTCTAGAGTTATATAGCTATATATAAATACCTCTCACATGCTACTGGGTAAAATAAAATAACGAGCTAGAGACAGATGAAGGAAGCAAGTTGAGGTACTTGTTGGCATTGGAAACTGCAGATTTTCTCAGTCAATGAATTTAACCTTAAATAGTGGCGCCATCCGCCGGTGGGGCCTAGTACTTATTGGACTGTCATTTTAAGTCTCCACAAATTACTCTAAAAAAAGTTTTGTCGATGTTAACGTAAAGAGAGTAAATTGTAAAGAGATATATTTGTCATTAATCATTAACAAGAATATTTGTTTTTTTCTTTATAGTTATTATATAAGTTAGGAATCTTATTTTATTTTTAAAAACTTATTAATGTTTCAAGTTTTTAGGGAAAATTTATCAGTGACTACTATTGTCAGTATTATTTATTAAGTATATAAATATGTCCACATATTTAAAATTATAACATAAAAACAACATTTACTCTGTGTAAAAGAAACTTCTAGTTAAATTTACAAAATGAGGTTTCAACCTCACCCGTGCCCTATAATTGAGATTTTCGTAAAGGTTTTGAGTGGTAATGTAAAGGTAGGCGTTCGATTATGAAGCAGAATCTTACGGTAGTTCTATAAAGGTCGATTCAAACACATCAGCCGAACAATCCGTCATACAAAATATTCTTTAATAGAAATATGCCGCCGGTATTCACATTCATCAGTTGACGAACAGTTTCCCACCTGTCAGATAATTAATAGTTCGGCGCCGGGACTGTGACGGGACTGATGTGTTTGAATCGACCTTATTAATGACGTGAGCGACATTATTAATGAAGTCATTCTGGCGCATCAAGCAACACATCGTCACTCATGGACACATGAATATTTATTGTATACCCCAGTTTAGAAAAAGAAATAAATGAAAAGAATATTACAGGTGTTTGATCGTTTTAAATTATAGAGGGACATAGGTACGGTCAGATCGGCCCTATTTTTTTATAAACAAAAAGCCAAAGTTCTAAATTGTCGTTTTTTACCTCTAGCATTTTTGTATTAAGATATTATCGTGTTATGAAGAAACTTTTAATTTAAATGTTTATAAGTTCAAATCTATTAACACTTTGCTGAGATAATTACAAAATGTCAAGCAGATTGGTTTAATAGTTAAGGAGTGATTGTTAAATGTTTATTCCAGGTATCAAAAGTTTTAAACACTCATTGCTGCCTACGATATGCTTCTGCAGTTATTTAACAGAGAGCACTGAACTCTTGAATATTAAACCTACAAAGAATCATGAAGAAACTAACTATTTTTGAAAATGTCGTTAAATAAGCAGTTAAAAAAAGTAATTTTTTTTGCTAATATACAAATAGAATAAATTCTTATGGTATATCTCTTGAAAATACTGATTAAAAGCCACACGTTTAATGGAAAAAAGAACTTTCTATGACTAAAACTAAGTTTAAAAAAATACTAACTCTGCAAGTATTTTTTTAAACATCATTTCTCTTTTGTTTATAAATAAATATTAAAGAGTTTAAAGTTTCGGAGATTGTCAATGAATAGCTATATTTTATAACACAATTGATAAGGATTTGAGATTGTAGCGCGTTGAAAGCGCGTTGAAAAATTTGCAATATCTCCGGTTCTACAAAGCGTAGACTTCCTTTTTTTAAACTGGGGTAACTTGACGAAATATTAACAAATATCATTTGCTTTAATAAATTAAATATCTGTGAAAATGGTTTATTATATTCCTATGTAGAATATTTATAAGTAATTATAAACTGCTGGACAAATTAATGCACCACTTTAATTAATCTAAATATTTACAATATGAACACAAAATAAACAAAGTTACATTGAAATAATAATAAACACCTACAAATAAGTCCGACATGACTGAATCATGACGTTAATTTGCCTTATTGTTTCTTTAAAAATTTGTTTTTGCCGGAAATGCGTAAATAAACTAGCATAACTCCAAATTGCAAAAAGAAAGTAACACAATAAAATGCATCTGGGTCAACACTAATACCGTGTAGGCCCTCCTCTACTCCTTATGACTGCATTTATGCTTCGACGCATGCTTGATATCAAATGTTCAACAAAAGCTTGCGGAATATTTTCCCATTTTTTAATAACGGCCTCAATGAGTTGGTTGTGATTGGCAATAGGGGGTCTACGACTTCGAATCTTTTTTTTTTTTTGAGATAGTCCCATAGATGCTCTATAGGATTCATGTCCGGACTGTTAGGTGGCCACGCTAATAATGGAATATCAACATTATTTAGGTAGCCAATAACCTGTCGAGCCATAAGGACGAGCGTTGTCTTGCATGAATAAAAAATTAGGTCCAATAATCGGATCAACAGGCATTACATGTTCTACAATAATGTTGTCCAAGTAATAATGGGCATTCATAGACCTCGTACGTATGGGGACTTACTCCGTACGAGCTTCAAAACAAATTTCTTCCCAAAACATTTTAGAGCCACCACCAAAAGGTACTTTAGGAGGGATATTTCAGCTGGCAAACCTTTCTTCTTGCCTTCGCCAGACACGCTCACGACCATCTGAAGTTTTTAGGCTTATTCTAGTCTTATCGGCGAAAAGAACTCGTTTCCAATCATCGATGGTCCAATTTTGATACAATCTTGCATAATTCAATCTCTGAACCCTGTGTTGTCTGGTAAGCAAGGGTTTTTTTTTCCGGTTTCCTGTTGCTCAATTCTGCTTCATGTAAACGTCTTCTAACTGTTCGAGACGATATCGCGACATTTCGAACATCTGCTAGTTCATTTTTTAGCAAATTGCTGGTGACTCTCCTATCTCTGATAGCACATTGTCTCAAAAAACGATCATTAATTTGATTAGTGCAACGTTTTTGCCCTTGTTCTAGTCTTTGATGGTACGACCCCGTTTTATTATATCGCCTCACCTTACGACTGATGCTGGAATGAT